ATGACGTTTCGTTTCTCCAATGTAGCAATCACCACAAATGCAACTCAATTTGTAGACTCCAGGATACTGTAAGTCAGGAACGACATCCTTCACAGATGGAATCAAATCACGGATTTTATGCACTGTACTGAATCGGACTTGGATCTTATGTTTGTTTAGAATTTTGGAGATCTTTTTGGTCACGCCTGCTATGTATGGCAACGTGATAGTTTTGGTGGGAGTTTCATGTGGCTGTTTCTGTATGGTGGGAGAAACAGCTTGGCGGATAGTGCGGTCAGAGTATCCGTTCATCCTGAGGGCCCGATGTACATGTCTTAATTCACCGGCCAGGTGGTGTTGGTCAGCAATGCCATGGGCTCTGTGGTATAGCGTGATTTTTATTTTATTTTTTAATGTTTTTACCTACGTGACTTTACCGAAAAAACCTAAGAATATGAATCATTGCAGTCACGAAAGCTTCAAATCTAGAATTAATGCCATCCCTCATCATCATAGTAGTTCCTATACAGTACATTTGATAAAAAAAAACTTCAATACATTCGTCAATAACATTGCCTTAAAATAACATATATATACTGTAAAAGGTTACTTTTTGGGCAATGGCCCTTCTTCATAGCACATACGTGCACATGACCTGATGACATCGATTCATGGTCGCAGTCTTCGTCCGGTCTTGGGTGTTCTCTTCTATGGCTGCCATTCCATAATAAGTTTCACCCATCATCTCTTTTAGCCAAGTATCCTGATCAAGCCCACCAACTTACTTTTCAACAGTCAACACGTCACTAATTTTCATTTTAATTGTTCGTTTATCCATGTGTTCCAAGTTGTCTCTTAGTCTAATTCTAATCATGCAGCTGTCCATCACTCTCCGTGCACTTTTCAGCTATTGTTCCATGTATTTTTTAAAATCAGTAACCGTTTTTCTGATCAATAAAGGAGAGCGTGTAATATGTATTACCTGTACTCTGTACAACGTTCTCTCTTCTTTAAGCACATTTATATGTTGAATTTTATTATCCGTTTTCCAAAAACACTGTAACCTGCTCTCGTTCACCTCTTATTTTTATCATAGTAATCCTGGTCAGCCTTCAATACTTGCCATAAGTATATATTGTAACGTGTTTCATAGTTGTGCCCCTCCAACCAATACTGTATTTTAATGTGCTTAGATAAATAATTTTCCATGACTAGTTTTAGGCATTTTACCTTGAACCCTAAAATCAATAATTTCCTGCAATTTATTGCAAATGGTTATTATTATTAAGGCATCAGTAAGTCTGAAATGGTAAATATATTCTCCATTTATGTGTATGCCTCTAATTCTCCAGTCCGCTCTTTCTATAATTGAATTTAATGTTGCTGTGAATAACTTTAGTGAGAGCATATATCCTTGCATGACACCCCTTCTGATATTAGTATATTGATCATGATGCTTCAGAAACTAGATGCAAACATTGGTTGAAGTCTGATATTAATATATTCATATATGGTAACGTTATCAGTGGACACCTTGTGTTCTGCCTCGCGGCAGGGGTTTTGCCTCACGGCAGATGGGGGGGGGGGGGGGCGTATGTACACAGAAATTTCCTGTTTTTGATGCTAATTTGGTCACGTGACCAGGAAGTTCCCGCTCAACCACGCGGGCGTCGGCATTTACACACATAATTCAAGATGGCGCCACACATCGCGTCCCAGTGAAGCCAGCCGCAATTGTCCATTGTGGGACTTTAAGAAGCATTGTCTGTAAGTTCGTTTATGTTCTTATAATATTGGCAATGCTGTTATAATGTTAGAATGACTATTTTCCATCAGAGCAACATATGACGTCCTTCCAACACCAGTTAATCTTCAACAATGGTATGGTGAAGCTCCGGACTGTGCCCTCTGTTCCATGCCAGCCAACCTCAGGCACATTCTCACAGGGTGTAAAACAAGCCTCACCCAAGGACGCTACACTTGGCGTCACAACCAAGTCCTTAAAAACCTTGCATCCGCCCTGGAGGACAAGCGAGCTGCCACCAACTCCCTACCACCCCCAGCAGCATATCACCCCTTACGGACGACCTTTGTCCGCGAAGGGGCTAAACCACCGAAGAGCGGCTCTACACCAATAGAGTGAGACCAGCTGCGCTTGGCCCGCGACTGGAAAATGCTAGCTGACATTGGCCGGCAACTTGTGTTTCCTCCGGAGATCGCAACCACCACCCTAAGACCTGACATGGTGCTCTGGTCCCGTTCGCTCAAGAAGGTCTTCATCATTGAGCTCACAGTACCCTGGGAGGACTCAATAGATGAGGCTTATGAGCGAAAACATCTGCGCTATGCCGATCTAGCTGCCGAAGCACGGCATCATGGCTGGAACACAGAAGTCCGACCAGTGGAGGTGGGCTGCAGAGGTTTTGTGGCAACATCTACAACCAGACTGCTTAGAGACCTGGGAATTAAGGGCCAGAGCCAGCGTTCGGCAATCAGAGCTGTATCGGAGGCGGCAGAAGGCAGCAGTCAGTGGCTCTGGATGAAGAGGAAAGACCCCAGCTGGGCCCCAAAGTGAGAGGGCCAGGAGGTATGCAGTCAACAATGCTTGACTCAGGGAGGAGGACGCACCTGCCATGCATAGTCCCATGGGATGTTGGCTATCAACAACAAGGCAACTCCTATGACTAATTGGGAATGGGACGCAAGCGTAGGATCGATCACCCTGTCGCTGGCTGCCTTTGGGGAGGGTATATAGTATGAAAGGCCGAAACACCTTATGACCCAAAGGTTCACTACTGACGATGCGCTCCCCAAATTTCACCAGGCTCACTGTTCATGAACTCTTGGAAGTGCTTGCACAAAGGATAGTAACATCTCATCCTGTGTTCTTTGGAATCATAATGATGTAAATGCCTTTAAAATGCTGTTAAATTGTTATGATAAATATGAGGCCTAGTTAACAACGAAGCCTGCAACTTTCCTTATTGTGAATGTTACTTGTAATTTAATAAGTCGAGTCAAACTTGTACCCAAGTAACTATATTGCGATCCTGAGAGGGAGGATGACGAAATATCTCATCCACAATTTAGTGTTATGTGTAATACTGTACATTTGGGGTGCAGTGTGATGAATACACGATGTGCCTTTTTACCTCGTTAAATTCAATAAATGACGTTTGGAGTCGGACGTTCATCCTGGCTCTGAGGGTTTATTGAACGCGAGGTTAACTACTCAGCTAGCGGTGCAACGCAGCGCACAGCGAGGCCGAGACACCTTGGCTGAAAAAAGAACTAATATTGTGATATGCTACTCTTGTTAAATGAATATATAGCAATAGCTGATGCGACTACAGATCCATCTTGCTTCAGGTTATCCCCATAGTTGGAAATATAGAGGCATCATTCCTCTGCCTGTCTTGATAACCTGACCTTTTCCATCCGATACAATTTCTCAACCCATCCCAATGTACAGGATTACAATTATTTCTTGCCAAATTATATTCTGAATATCCAAGTTGCTTATTGTTATGCCATGAAATTCTTAGCATCTTCCACATATGCCTTGATTCAAAGGTGAAGAGCAAATTATCTTGTGGTTTTGTTAAATGACAGGTATCTGGGACATAAGTAACACAGATATTACTACTCAAAAATCCATCTCTTAGCAATAAATTTGGACCTCTCAACTCTTCCAAAGTTAGTTTTTTTATGAGGCCCATCATAACCGGTAATACCGACATACTGGAGTTTCAAATAACACACAATATGAAGAAGCACACAGCATTTGTGCATAAACAAAAACCACTAGCAGTTCTTTATGAAGGGCAATGTGGTTCTCTTTGTCTTAAGTCACCATCACATTTGACTACACAGATAAGTAATTCAATCCTCTAAAATCTCCACTTGTGATAAAGATGCAATAACCCCATGCAAAACGTTATCAGTGGATTGAGAAAGGGCTACAAAATATGATTTTAAAAGGAATTCAGTGAATTTCAAAGTACAAGCAGGAAAGAACAAGCATAACTTTTTGGTCTTCAAGTTTTTTTAGTGTGAAATGTACATCCATACTTTTTAGTAAAACCATTACATACAAAAACTACAGTATATAATTGTTCTTTGGTTCTTTCGGTAAAGACACGTAGAAAGAAAATAAATATAATAATAGAATACGACGTTTCGATTGCAACCCAAGCCACCGTCATCAGGTAGAACTAAATTTGAGAGAGAGAGACAAAACACAGACACGGAGACACAAAGACAGACACAAGCAGAGAGACACACAACATAAACACACAGAGACCCAATGCCTCTGTGTTTAGGTCTTTCAAAAGAGAGAGGGGGGCAGAGAGAGAGGTGGGTCTGCTGGAGCAGCTGCTGGAGCAGAGAAATTAGCATGTCAATGAAAGACCCAACAAGACTGGTACATTTTAGAGAGAGATGTGTGGAAATCCACCCCGAAGGGACTGAGGGAGAGAAAGAGCGAATGGACCTATGAGAGCCTGGTAAATTTTAGAGAGAGAAAAGGCAGTTTGAGAAAACTAAACTCAAAAATGTACCAGTCTTTCATTGACATGCTAATTTCTCTCCTCCAGCAGCTGCTCCAGCAGACCCACCTCTCTCTCTGCCCCCCCCCCCCCTCTCTTTTGAAGGCCTCGACACAGAGGCATTGGGTCTCTGTGTGTCTATGTTGTGTCTCTCTCTGTGTCTCTGTGTTGTCTCTCTCTGCTTTTGTGACTGTCTGTGTGTCTCCGTGTCTGTGTTTTGTCTCTATCTCAAATTTATTTCTACCTGATGACGGTTGCTTGTGTTGCAATCGAAACGTCGTATTCTATTATTTCATTTATTTTTTCTACGTGACTTTACCAAAAGAACCAAAGAGCAATTCCTGGAGTCACGGAAGCTTCAAATCCAGTTTGTTACAGTATGTAATGTTGTAAAAATACGTATCTTACTTTAGTTGTTTTAACTGTATGCAGTGGATTTGTGAAAAGACAAGAAAATGTACAGAACAAGAAGGATAGCAACATAAAAATGGATCTTTAATTTCAATACAATGCCCAGGCATGTATTCGCATTAAACAAGTCAACATCCACCCAGGGAGACAACTTCATTTACCTAGAGGAACAGACAACGGGTTTACTACATCTAAACCATTTTCACTTGTGCTTCTTTCAGCAAATAAAATGAAAACGAATTCACCTGTATTGGTAATGTCGACAGTTCCTTTTTTTAGAACATTTTTCGTAAAAAAATCTGGCCACTCAAAAATTTCAAATCACAAAATACTTTTTTCAGTTTTCTTTTCTTACTTTTAAATTTAATAATTCATAAAATATTGCTGTATCAAATTTCTATTACATCCACTTACATAATATACAACACATTATAAAGTGAATACTCCAGATAATAAACTGGGGACACACACTGCTCATTTTTTACAAAAATGCAGCATGCTTCAACATGCATGAAAAAAAATGTTACAATACACTGTGCAGAGGTGATGCCATGCGATAAGCCATGCCGTTGAACACGTTTGTGCAAAACGTACACGTTTAATATACAGTTAATGCATGCGTCATGCCTGTCACTATGAGGTTAGGTATTAGCTTGTTTGTATAATAAACCAAAGAAGTTAGTTTTACTCTATGACGTGCCACAAATAGTAAACACAGTGTGAAACTTTACCCACAAAATAAGACTGCTTATCACAAGATCAGATAAAAAAAAGTTACAAATAAATGTTTGCATTCAACACAATCCCTGATGCTTCAAACACACCAACAAAACATGCCCAAAACATAATTAGATAAATCAGAAGATTAATATAGTGTGGAAAGCATTCCATGTTTCATTTGTGTTAAAAAGCAACAAATGACTAAATATTAATGTGGCACACTGGAAAACTGATTTGAAAAATGTTAAAAGATGGCAAATTCCTCTCATAGAACCAGCATTGACTTGGAATCATAGTGATACAAACTTACTTTTGTAATGCTAATAATTTTGCCCTACTGAAATTAATGTTAACACTCAGCGTTCGATTATGTTTCCTACTACAGTCTCTGTCTTTTTTGGTCTTTCAAAAGTTTTTAGCATTAGAAAAATTCCTACATACGTCACTGAAAATGTCTGCAATACGAGAAGAGGCATATCAGTGTTGAAGCACTTTAGTTTGTCATAAAAACATTTGGCAGTATAATTTTTTAACTGAAAGGCAGTCAAATAGGGGCAATAATTGGAGGCAAATATATGGCAAGTGTGAGTGACAATGATTGATACCAGTGACAAGTGTTAACACAAGCTACCAAAAGGAGTTAACAAAAAAAAACATGACAGTATTTTGGTCACTTGAAGGTTGAATATAACAGCCATAATACTGTACAGTGTGCAAGAATGTACAGAAAGAATGACATTTGTATGATGACAGTTGCTTTGGTTGCAACATGTGGGTTGGTAGTGTCCAGGGAAGCAACACCAATGAACTGAGTTTAAAAGTTAAATGGGTAAAACGTCTCCTTTGACATGAACTATGATTATATGTCAGAGCAGACAGGACTTTTACTACCCAGAGGTTGGTTGTAGATTGGCTAATGGTCGCTGTGACGAGATCTGCTTTCCAGTTGAAGCTTTTACAGTTGTCAAAAGTGAGGACATTTAGCGTGGCAATTGCTTGGTCGGGTCGCAGTTACAAGCATATGGTCTACAGATAACGCAGCAGACAGTTTTAAACGTGGTGAACCCTTCAGAAACACATACTGCCTCGATAATACTTTAAATGTTACGATTATTTGGCAGTGTTAATGAGGAGGCTAAAAGTGGTGCGGTTGTTTTCTAGCTTTTACAATCCCCCATCAGCAACACGCATACAAGTTCCAAATGGACCAGTCAGACGGACATCTCGGCCACGGCAGGCACAGCAGAGAAACTGGGGACCGTTGCGTTGGCGATCGCCCTCAGTGAGAATCTGTCGCCGCCGACTACAACGTCTGAAGAGGCTCCAGAGTCCCAGCCCGCAACATATTTGAGAGCCACTCTGTTGATTGGATACATCCTGCGTTCCTGAAACGAGGCACGGGCGAGCCCTCCCTCAGCCGTGCAGCTCTCCAGGCCCTGCTTTCCCTCCAGAAAGTATGTGAGCATCTCCCCTTTGCCCTTCACGGTGACTTTTCCACGGCAGGTGAACTCGTAGTTGCTCTGCTTTAGGATCTTGTACACATCCTCACTCACCTGTTATCAAATGCAATTATTGTACACAAATTGCATGAGTCAAAGTATTGTTTTACATTTCGCAGCTTGCACCATGCGGTTTAGGCAGTGACTAAGAAAATATAATAATTAAAATTTTAAAATATATATAAATATATAAAATACGCAAAGTTTATGCCTTTAAATCATTTGGTATACTGTAGTTTTGGTCGGACATACTTATCATGAGTACCATATTCTGTGATTTATAGAGATGGACGTTTGCGGATGCATCAAATAACTTGGTAGATTTTTGTTTGACTAGATTTGTATAAGATTATTGACAACGGGCACAAGTTCAGGGTCCACCTGACTACTCTGGAGCATCTTAATCTGGAAAAAAACTATATTCATGTATTAGAATGTGATTTTTCTCTCATTCAACATTACAAAATAAGATTAATTTAAAGTTCCTTGTTCAGCCTATGATAATCATAATGAAAATGATTCGTTTTTGCCATAGCGTCTTACACACCACGGCGTCTCAGAGCGCATTACATCACATCTCATCTCAACACATTTGCAAGGGCACCCCCAGTGGCAGCCGTCCCTGTGCGCACAAGGTGACTCAACACCTGGCCTGCAAATGGGCATTAGTCTGCCAGTAATGGGCAGTGATTATTATGTATAATCCAAATTGAGTAATTTGTAGGTAATTTGTTTTATTTGGTTTATTTGGACCCTGATGTCGGGACACAATGGCCTTCTCTTGCAAATGATATCAGATCATCTTTAACTTCCACTGTCAAGCAGATGGAGCATAGTTTTATGGTTATTACACCCGCACTATCGCAAGCCCATGTCACGACTCCTTATGGAATATATTTAGTACTCGTAAACAAGAAGCACACCTGTATTTTTCCTGGTAGGCCTGTGCTGTCCATACGACTCGCCACATTGACTGTGTTCCCCCAGATGTCGTACTGCGGCCTGCGAGCACCAATGACCCCAGCCACAACGGGCCCAACACTGATTCCTGACGCACAAGAAAGTTACCTTTAACATACTGAAGCAAGCAGACATTTTAAATTTACATTGATGACTTAGTTTGTTTTATGTACTGCACTTGTGCATTAAAAGGGAAAGGTGCAGCCTTGCAATTTCTTGCTCACCCCACTTTTGGTGGGAGGGCCTCAACTAGAGGGAGCTCTCAAGAACCCCTACAAAGCATATTTGGTATACTCTCCCAATGCTGGCCAGACGTCGTGGAAGAGGTGGGAGCACCCACACATCACCCCATCACCTGACTAACTGGGGTGTACCTAATTGCTGGGTGGACAGTGATGAGTGATATCTGTGTGAATAGATCCTGGGCCAACCCCCTTCACACTGACAGACGTGGTGATGTATGGTAAAACAACCCTCATGACCGACACAGCATGGGCAGGTCTTCATCCAGCAATGAATTGACAAAGAGCTGACACATCACTAGAAGGAATGATGGTCATTGAACGAGAAAAGTGATCAAAATGGCAGGTAAAGGAATGGACACTCCTAAGAGAATGACCAACACGGAGATGGAGTGATGAGATGAGGTCATGTGCATGAGGTACATGGTTGGTCGCATCATGAGACCATAAGGGATGGCAGGATTATGGGGAGGCCTTTATTGAGCAGTGTATAAAGCATGGCTTATGATTTTCATTAATATTCTAATTTCCCTAAGCATATTTGCCAAAATGTCGAGCTATTTCTAACAACCTATGACTATTTTAAATTACCCTTTTATTGTATACTAGACTTAATGTTTACAAGTACTATAGTGACTCAGTTTGGATTTTGTGTGTAATAATGCAAAAAACTCATATTTTAGATGGCATTTTACAAAATCTGGCTTTAAATGCTCGTGCATACTATTTTTGGATAATTGCAATTAAATTTGTATTTTTGCTCCACTATAAAAATTCTAAACCAAAACACTGCAAAAACAATCTAGAAAAGACTCCACATTTGATAGATAAAAATATTAAAACCAAAATCCGAAAAAAATCCCCAGAATTACATTTGGTAAAATTAGAAATAAAATGCAACAGAATTTACATCGAGACAAAATCTATCATTTGTTTTAGAGGTCTTAAAATCTTGTACAAAAACTGTCACTTCAAGAGTAAAAACAAAGGAAAAATTACTCCACTTACCAACTCTAAGCACAAAGTCATTGTAGGACTGATAATTGATTTCATCCACCACATCAAACATTTCCATTGCAAAATCAGCAACTGAACTCAAGTGGGAGATGATGGAGCACTTGGCCTGCATAACAAGAAAGAACATGTTAAATGTTCATATATCACACGTATGCTCTCTTTATCGCAAGTATCAATTTTTTTACACCTGGTGTAGTAATTTATACTTCTGTAATAAACATTGTCTTATGCGTCTAAGAAGGAATGGAAATAATTCGTAAGCAAACAATATTAACTTTATGTACCTTTGTCCCTGATGTTGGAACCAATCCAACAGCTGCCATGTAGGTGCTCCCAATCGTTTTAATTTTTTCAATGTCCTTAAAGCATTCCTTATCCAGAAGCTAAGAGAAGCAAAACAAAAGCGTGCTGCAGGACCTTCGAAATTGAAAATCAAAACATTTAGTTTTCAATATAGGTATGCCAGCGACTCAATTTAAGATGCCCAAAATGCATGCTTACCTCATCAAAATCCGCGATGATTTCATTCAGTAGCCGTAAACACTCCACCCCCATGTTGTTTCCATCCAGTTCTATGTAGAAGTCGTTGAAGTTTGGTATTGAAGCAAAAAGAACACCTACTTGCGAATAGGATTGGTAATACAGATCCTACGGGACGAGACAATTTCACAGGAAGTAAATAACCAGCGATCCCCTGTTACCTACACCGTTATGGAAATAATATAATAAACGTGAGGAGGAGACACTTACCATGTTGCGTGGGTTGGACTGCAGGAAATGTTGTGCTACGTGGGCCGGCAGCAGGTTGAACAGGATGCGCTTATTGTCGTTTTTTACCTTCTCCATGTCGCATCGCTCGTCTTCTGCCTAAAAGCAAAGGATGCACTGTTACTCCACCCAGGTGCATACGTGAACTAACCGAACAACATCTGGTGCTGCTCAAACTTGCAATAAAAGGATGCTGCTCCGTACCTGGGAAGCCCAAAGGTAGTCTAGCCGGAGCTTGAGGTCCAGCTGGCGAGAGTGCAGGATCATGGCGCAGATGAAGAGCAAGATTGTGAGCACCGGCTCGTATGCCTTCATGTACAGCGCACTCGTCCTTGTTGAGATAGAAAAATAATAATAATAAATCACGACGTTTCGATCGCAACACAAGCAATCATCTTCAGGTGAAAAAATACAGCAGGTGGACTTTTGAGGCAGGAAGAAATATTGCTATAATTCATTGCGGAAGTATTACACATGGTACCTTTTGCGAAGTTAATCAAGTTAAGGGCACATGGGATGCCAAGAACTGCTGTGAATTGTATGGGGAACTTATTACATCATAAAGGGCAGGAGACTGTCATCGATGAATGCAGCACCATAGCAAATGAGAGCAATGCTTGGGACGTTTTTGTCACTATTAAGATTTATATGGACGAGTTGATTACCATACAGTCAAGAGCATTTTCCAATTACGCCAAATGGGCTATAAAGTAAACTTATCATGAAGAGCCATAGATTATTGAAAATAATTTACGCATTTGTTGATAAAGCTTTTCAAAACAGAACGTCTTTGCAAATATGATTAAATACAAATCATATTTTAGCCTCTACCACAGGGAAAACACTGCTATTCTGGAGTTCGTGAAGCATCCATAAATATACACCGTAGAAATATAGTACTGTAAAATGTTGTTAGCCCGACATTCACATATCCGCCATGACCAATTAACCACCAACGTCCAGTGCGGTATTTGTGCATCGTGTAGCTGTTATTGTGAATAGATGTTCACATATTCAACCTTTTCACATATGCACCTTTTGACATATCCCACCTAACCCTTCAGTCCCCAGTGAATCACATTTTCGACGTTGTACTCGACAGTCCAATAGAAATTAGTATAATATCACATGCGCATTACAAAGCATCAGACAAGAATAGGTCCACTCCATTGGAACCTCCTTTGCCAGTAGCACAATATGATAATTGTTTTTTGACCCTTTTATCTGGCAACAAAACTGACACCTTTTTTACAAGGTGAGTTGTCTTTGAGTTGTGCGCCTTTTGGCGTCATCTGGTCCAACACCATGTGAGACTAGGCTCTAAGGAAAGCTGTCTCGGGTGTGGACCAATCAATTTCCAGGACAATGCATACATTATCAGAGTTGTGTTTTTTGTTTGCATTCCGACTGCAGGTATTGTGGTCAATGCAAACATGACTCCTTGTAAAAAAGGTGTCAGTTTTGTTGCCAGATAAAAGGGTAAAAAAACAATTATCAACAGGTCCACTGTTACAATTAAATTAATATATATCAGTCTATGTCTGCACAAAAATAATCATAAAGTACTTGGATAATTAGTAGTAGTATGTTTTAGTAATACGTGAACAATTATCAAAATGCACTTATTTATAGAAACCACAAATAAGATGTCATTGCTTGATTAAAATAAATATCAATGGTAATGTAAAAATCACTTGACCTCTTCTTCCTCATTTCCAGATAAATTGCACAAAAAAGCAGTGAGGCTCAAATAATTTAAATAGAAAAAGTTAAAAAATTTCGACAAAGCTTCAAACTCGTGATGGATGATACACTTAATAATCAGCTGAGATGTTTAAAATGATTGCCTACAAAGTAACACCTACTCATTTTGTCGATGCAATTGCATGTATTGAAAGTAATGCATACTGTAGTATGGAATAAAAATAGATACAGACCTGCCAGCTTCAAATAGGTCACACACACACAAATAAAAACTACATTGACCAACGTCGTGAAGTGTGATCCAACAACCTTCATTACCGACACGGCACGGGGTGGCGGCCTTCATCCAAAAGCAAATATAAAAAAGATTGAACATATTTTATTGTTCTACTAATTAAAAAAAAACTTCCCAGTGTGCTTGCTTAAAGACATGCTGCTTACTATTGCTCTGGAAAGCCAATAGACTGACAGACGAAAACACATAAGTAAATAATAATTTATTCGATCATTTAAATTATAAACTAGGATTGTTTATAAAAAAAAATTAAGAAAGAGGTATTATGGAAAAATGGATAAGAGGACCAATCGGGTACGGTTTGTGCAAGAAATTAAGGAATATCATTCAAGGAGTATCTATGACCTTTCGGTCAATGCAGTAAAGCATATCTTTTATTTTAAGGTCTGTTTCTTTAAAAGGGTCAGACCCTAGACCAACACGCCCAAAAGGTCCCCCTTTTATTACGAGCTTACCCGGCAATGTGACGATATCCCCCTAACTCTAGCACCAGAACGTAGACCACAGACAGCAAGATGAGCATCAGCAGCTTGGGCAGGGAGGAGACGCGCAGGAAGAGGGAGAGTGTGAGGATGCTGTTGAGGCAGCCCAGCAGGCCATACTGTGCCAAGTCACTGGGTGCTGGCGTGTATGCCAGTGCGGAGGGACTTGCTGTGGTCGCAGTTACTCCGGACAAGGTGCTGTTGAACTGGGAAACCTCCAGAGCCGGCAGGGTTTGGGGCGTAACCGACAACGTGGACACCGACACAAGTCCTGACTCGGACGTGGGCGTCACAGTCGCAATGGAAGAGTTTCCAACTTCTGTCCAATACCACGTCATGCAGGCCACCTGCAAAGAAGATCAGCGTGCAATAAGTGTTAATATAAAAAAAATATATACGAATTGGCAGAGAGTCCAAATTATTACGACCTAACAGTATAATGTCGCATATCCACCCTGACCAATTAACCGCCCACACCCAGTGCAGTAGTATATGTGTGCTGCCTGGAATTCTAATTCTATATCGATGTTCGCACTTCTGACATTTTCACATATCAGCCTATACCACAGTCTTTATAAAACTGGATATGTGACGTTATACTGTATTTAATTTAAAACAGACTTTAAAAGGTATTGCAAGAACAAGTATTGTGATGTTAAACTTTCACTTTTGTTGCAATATATTTTTGTGTCAACACTGTCAAGGTTAATCGAGTTAAAATGCATCTCACCACACAGCTCTGAGCAGTGGAGAATATTAGGGCAATGATACAGAGGGTCAGGGTAGTCCGTAGCTGTATCGTTAGGCAGCCTGGAAAACACTGCACACACGAATATCACAGTAGAGTACTTTCAACATCACATACATCACACGTAACTCCTTTGGCCTGTAAAACTTAGTAATGTTATGAAACGCCATTGCTCTAACACAGGGGTCCTCAAACTACGGCCCGCGGGCCACATGCGGCCCGCCGAGGACATTTATCCGGCCCGCCGGGTGTTTTTGCCGCCGCTGCCTGTCTGTTACTTTTTTTCTTCATGAGAAGGACGGTCATTGGTGGAAGAGGGAGAGGGGGCGGCCGCCGCCGATTGGCTGGCCGGCTGAAGCGCTGGATCATGGGAATTGTAGTCCGGCCGCAATCAAGCTTCAGGCGGTGGGAGGAACCGAACAGCGCAGCCGGACTACTACTCCACCTCCCAGGACTCAGAGGAAGCCAGGGCATGTGGGAGGGGCCGGCTGCGCTGTGAACAAAACTGCAGGTGTAATTAACTTTTTAATGGCACCTGCACCAGTGTGAGCCTGGGGTAAAAGCGGAGTTCCCCCAATCAGACTGCATTGATGGGCAGTGCAGTCTGTATGTCTCTGTGTGGGCAAAGTTATTGCTGGTATATTGTTTTTGTAGCGCTGTATATATATTGGTATTTTACTAATAGCAATTTTGACTCCCTAGGAAACAATGATGTCAAGAAAGAGAAAAATTGACTCTGAGTGTAGGATATTCAAAGAACAGTGGACTTATGATTACTTTTTCATGCAGTACAAGGAAAGAGCTGTGTGTCTGATATGCCAGAATATAGTGTCTGTGTTCAAAGAATACAATTTACGTCGACACTATGAAACTCAACATAAAGATAAATATGATTGTTTGGTCGGAGAAGTGAGAAAAGATAAAATATTAAAACTGAAAAATACATTAACAACTCAGCAAAATACTTTTGTGAAGCAGAAGCAGCTAAATATTTCATCACTGCGAGCAAGTTTTCAAGTTGCCAAGCTAATAGCGTGCACTGGCAGACCATTCGTGGAGGGAGAATTTGTTAAAGAATGCCTTCTTTCTTTTGCCAAAAAGATGTGTCCAGAGAAGGCCGATTTATTTAGTACAGTGAGTCTTTCAGGACCTACAATTACACGGAGAATTGAAGAAATGGGAGACAATTTGCATCAGCATTTGCAAAACTCCACAAAAAAACTTTACTATTTTTCCTTGGCACTCGACAAAAGCAATGATGTTCGTGATTCTGCACAACTTCTAATTTTTATTCGTGGGACGAATGACTATTTCGAAGTCACAGAAGAGCTTGCTGCACTGCAAAGCATCAAAGGGACAACTACAGGAGAGGATATCTATGAAAAGGTTTGCCAAACTGTGAATGGTTTGGAGCTGAACTGGGCTAAACTAGCCAGTGTGACAACTGATGGTGCTCCTAGCATGGTGGGGTCTAAGAAAGGAGTAATTGCTCGCATTAACCAAGAGATGGACAAACATAACCATTTTCATCCAATAGCCATACACTGCCTCATCCACCAACAAGCGCTGTGTAGTAAATCACTGAAGTGGGACTCTGTTATGAAAATTGTGGTATCTTCTGCTAACTTCATTAGAGCTACGTAGAAGGGAAGTAATAAAATAATACAAATAAAACATAATAAAAATAATTCTCACGACGTTTCGGCCACAACGCAAGCAGCCGTCCTCAGGTGAAAACCAGGTCTGTCGACGTGACAGCGTCTGAACGAAACAGCACACGAGCTTGGAGCATATATATAAGCTGGGCGCCTTGACAAAGGAATTTGCCAATCAAGAGGAATTTAGCATATTTATGGGAAATGCAGGAATGTGATTAGTACTACATATGCCCGTGCATTATGCAGGACTAGCAGCATCAAAGGGAGGGGTAGCATTAATAAAGGGAAGGAGTATTCATGTACCCCTCCCTTTGATGCTGCTAATCCTGCATAATGCACGGGCATATGTAGTACTAATCACATTCCTGCATTTCCCATAAATATGCTAAATTCCTCTTGATTGGCAAATTCCTTTGTCAAGGCGCCCAGCTTATATATATGCTCCAAGCTCGTGTGCTGTTTCGTTCAGACGCTGTCACGTCGACAGACCTGGTTTTCACCTGAGGACGGCTGCTTGCGTTGTGGCCGAAACGTCGTGAGAATTATTTTATTATGTTTTATTTTTATTATTTTATTACTTCCCTTCTACGTGACTTTACCGAAAGAACCAAGAAGATGAATCCCTGCAGTCACGAAAGCTTTAAATCGAAATTCATTAGAGCTCATGCACTAAACCACAGACAATTTCAGGAATTTCTGTCTGAGCTAAATGATGACTATGAAGATGTTCTGTACCACACAGAAGTCCGTTGGCTGAGTCGAGGGACAGTTTTGAAACGTTTCTATGACTTACTTCCACAGATTACAGCTTTTCTGCTTTCAAAAAACAAAGAAGTACCAGAGCTCAATGATGCAGAATGGAAATGGCACCTTGCCTTTCTGGCAGATGTAACAGAGCTACTCAACAGTTTCAATGTGCAACTTCAAGGAAAGGGGAAGCTCATCTGTGATATGCAATCACATGTCAAAGCATTTGAAGTAAAATTAGGCCTCCTCATCAAACAAGTGAAGGAGGACAACTTCTGCCATCTCCCCAATCTGTTAGCGGAAAAACCATTGGTTGCATTCCCAAACAAAACATGTGTGGATTCACTGGAAAAATTGCAAAAGGAGTTCCAATTTAGATTTAAAGAGCTTTATCTCCATGAACAGGACATACAGCTTTTCCGTAACCCATTTTCTATTGACATTGAAAATGTGGATACAATTTACCAAATGGAACTGGCTGAACCGCAGAATTGTGACTCTCTGAAAGACGCATTCAAGTCAAGCAGCCTTCATAATTTCTATGCATCTCTCTCCTCTGAGACATATCCTCATCTCAGGAACCATGCACTCAAAATGGCAACCATCTTTGGCAGCACTTATGTCTGTGAACAGACTTTTTCCAGAATGAAACATTTGAAATCTCCAACCAGATCTAGACTAACGGATGCACACTTGCATCACTTGTTATGACAAGCAGTGACAAATATGGAACCGGACATTGTCCATCTCATTAGCCAAAAGCAGGCCCATATTTCCCATTGAAATACTGGCAAGTTTGTTGATTTAACTTTACTTGTTCTTCATTTTAAATATTGTATTTGTTCCCGTTTTGTTTTTTTACTTCAAAATAAGATATATGCAGTGTGCATAGGAATTTGTTCATAGTTTTTTTTAACTATAGTCCGGCCCTCCAACGGTCTGAGGGACAGTGAACTGGCCCCCTGTTTAAAAAGTTTGAGGACCCCTGCTCTAACACCACTAGTTACAGCATTACTGAAGATAATGGGACCAATTTTAATTACCTTTTGTAAATGTAAAATGATTGTATTACATACTCCTTGGTTCTTTTGGTAAGTCACATAGGTGACTTACCGAAAGAACCAAAGAGTGGATTCCTGCAGTCACAAAAGCTTCAAATCGTGATTGTATTACAGTATAAATATTACTATACGAGAACACCATAATGCGATTGCAGCATTTCGTACAGGATGTAAAATTATACCAATCAAAACCTAAAAATGTTTGTAAAAAAATGGTACTTCATTAGCTTAGGATCACGTGAGTTCAGAGTTCTCATCCTTGGATGAAAATTTACAGGCATATAGACACACGGCTAAATATGCGTTACCACCGTCGTTAATGACAAACACTGCATAACTGCTAAAATATGGGCGATCAGCTAATATTTCTTGTACTTGCCCAGCTTCCGAGCAAAGAGGGAGAAAAATATGTAACTTATAGTTCATCTTCTTGGTTCTTTCGGTAAAGTCACGTAGAAGGGAAATAATAAAATAATAAAAATAAAACATAATAAAATAATTCTCACGACGTTTCGGTCACAACGCAAGCAGCCGTCCTCAGGTGAAGAACAGGTCTGTCGGAAAGACAGCGTCTCATTCAGACGCTGTCTCATTCAGACGCTGTCTTTCCGACAGACCTGTTCTTCACCTGAGGACGGCTGCTTGCGTTGTGACCGAAATGTCGTGAGAATTATTTTATTGTTTTATTTTTATTATTTTATTATTTCCCTTCTACGTGACTTTACCGAAAGAACCAAGAAGATGAATCCCTGCAGTCACGAAAGCTTTAAATCGAAATTTTACTTATAGTTATAGACTATCGCACCTCTGATTAGTACGGTTGGCTACATATGGTGCTAAAGAAGTTTAACATACATACATACATAGATATTGCGCAGGTGTATAAATAACATGTATTCGGAATATGAAATATGCATTTGTTCCAAAATCTCAAGTTCTCACGACTGATGCACAGATGCTCACAAGTTTTGTGTGGCTCTGTGCATCTGCTTTCGAGGTCCTTTCAATGATATCCCTGACGAAACCAAACCACCTTTGAACACGCGTAAAGCTCGAACGTTCTGAAATGTTAATGACATGTGTTCAATGTGTCTGACGTCAGTCCGATATATATTATGAGGACACGGCGTCACTCTGTCATCTACATTCGTCTCGACGTCTTGCATTGCATGACGTTGGCGGCAAAGCTCGACTTCAGCAGTGAAAAAATAACCAGTGCCTTCTGATCCACGTGATGGCCTGGAGCAGCCCTGGCACGGCTCAGATGTGTCAGTCGAAATGAGGTGTTATATTACAGGATGGTAAATATACACTCTAATACAAAGTGTATTATATCGAGGCACTTACCTGTACATGTGCAATATGCAAATACATAAGGCAAATCACAAGGAAACAGATTGACGCTACGAGCAGCACCACCACCACAGTGTTCCTGCAAAGAGAAACCATCACAGCACTATCAACAAACTACAAAGCAAGTGAAATGAAAAGGATATTGATTTATATAGCAAATGTTCACAAATGTAAGTCATTATAATCCTATAAAAACAAGACAGCAGTGCTTTTTTTTCAAACAACTTAAATGTAATGAATGTAATCGTATACGCTTATGTAAATATATAATCTCCATGATAATACACCACGGGAACATTATTTAATTATATTTAGTGACTGTAATGCAACAACTAAGTTACAAATAGTCAGTTCTTACTATCTGAAATAAAATTTTGAGTAGATGCTCTCGTAGTGGGATGTACGCTAATGAGCTGGATGCGAATGATCCTTCTGGCCCAAACCCGGGCACGAAAACACTCAGGAGGAGGATGATGATGGATGCAGTGGTGTGGTGTTATTCGTAGACTTGTACGCACGGTGGAAGGAGCAGCAGGTAAATAAGGCCCAGGATAGCAGCCAGAATCATACAAAGTGTGACAGCACTCGTGAAGTACTCATCCTCCAGCTGGTGGTACTGAAACACAACAGCATGGCAGACGTGAGCAACGGTCATTAGCGACAACTAATCCGACACGAAGTATGACTCCTCACAAACCTATTTGACAGTGCATGCATTGCCGAACAAAAACAAGTATTTGAAAATGATACCATGTACTCGGCTATTTGATCCTTATGGCGGTACCCCGGGATACCAAATAATACAAAATGGCCAAGGCAATTAAATATTTTATTTCTGGGACACTATTTTTACCAGGGGTGTACTCCGTGACTGGGGTACCAATCAATCCGAAATCAGTGCTACTCCGCGATGTCGAAACGCAGCGAGGACTATTGCGCTGAAACCCTGAACGCTCGTATGCACCATAGTGCATTGTGTACAGCTCGTCGAGATGAGTCAATTGCCGCATCGCCGACCATCAGCAGACTAAAAAATATATTAACCCGTAAAAACAAAGTTTTTCACTATAAATCCTTTATATGCGTGTTCAATGGGCCACAACCCAACCCACATTGGTCTTTGAAACGGGCGGCTAGAGTCCTCTCGTCCTCTGGCTTGAGATGGCTGCCACCTATGGGTCAGATGATTGCCTGCCACCATTAAGCAATTGGTAATTAAATATAATTTTTTTAAAATCCTAAAAAGTGTAAAATTTTTGAAAAAAAATTTCACGAAAATAAATTGTCATGCACAACGAGTCTGTGTGCAAAATGTCAGCTCGATTGGATCACGGGAAGTGGGTTAAAAAACGACCGAAAGATTTGCACGGTCATAAGCGCGCAAGCAAGCAAGCAAGTGAACTTAATATAAAGGATTTAATGACTGCATCACGGACATTCTGCGAGAGCCGGGGTACTATGGTACCCCGAGGTACCGCCATAAGGTTCATTTGTCTGACCATTTGTTTATATTTATGCATCAGTTACTCATTATGTACATTCGTACTTTGATTAAAAGAAACATGTCGTCAAAATAACGAAATATATTCATATTTTTTTAATCATAACAATTCTTGTGCCAACTTGTCAACAGAAGAAGTTACAGTTAAATTCAACTCATTTGGCTTCAGCGTGTTAGCCACATTGACATTTTTAATACATTCCAACATTACAATAACCCATCTAAAATTAAAAAAAATTCATCACTATTGCTCAATATCGTGCTTTTAGGCTGTCATACATATAATAACTACCGTATTTTCCCGCATATAACCCGCGGGGTATACCACTTTTTAAATCCTTTATATTAAGTTCACTTGCTTGCTTGCTTGCGCGCTTACGACCGTGCAAATCTTTCGTTCGTTTTTTAACCCACTTCCCGTGATCCAATCGAGCTGACATTTTGCACACAGACTCGTTGTGCGTGACAATGTATTTTCGTGAAATTTTTTTTACACTTTTTAGGAATTTTTTTTTTATATTTAATTACCAATTGCTTAATGGTGGCAGGCAATCATCTGACCCATAGGTGGCAGCCATCTCAAGCCAGAGGACGAGAGGACTCTAGCCGCCACGCATATAAAGGATTTATAGTGAAAAACTTTGTTTTTACGGGTTAATTTTTACAAACAAAACAAGACCCTGCGGGGTATATGGAGGTGCGGGCTATCCCAAAAATATTTTACACATGTGACATGTCATAACTCGTTACATTTTTTCATGGTAGGACTATCCACTATGATGAAATTAAGCTGCGATAACGACGTTAAATATATGAATGCATGTGGGGTATATGGAGGTGCGGGCTATCTGAAATATGTTTTACACAAAACGCTATTTTTGCGGGGTATATGCATCTGCGGGTTATATGAGTATGCGGGCTATATGCGGGGAAATATGGTACATATACAAAAACAACATAATACATGCTCTTATGGAAAGATGACTTTCGAGAAGAAGAAGAAGGTATAAAATGATGTTTAAGCCAAGTGGACTTAGGTCATGAATGCTGCCATGATGTAACAGCTAACACACTGTACTTGCAATCCAGTGGTAGCTGGTTATATTAGGTACAAAACCGTTAGCTCGATTGGCAGGTCAAATGTGGTGGGGCAAAGTGTGGGTACTCCCACCACTTCAAACAAATGTGGCCAGTGTGGAAGAGTAGACCAAAATACCATTCTCTAGAGCTCCCTCTAGTGAAAGCCCTTCTGCCATCAGTGGCGAGAGCAATATATTACAGCTCTGCACCCTTACCTTTTCACGACTGTACATTAATACTAACAAATTTAAACAAAAAACGACAAGGAGGATATTCTGCTCTGCCCAACAGGCGATACCTTGTGCTCGCGTTCTGACTGCTTGTAACAGAGGGAAAAGAAGTGCATGTCGGCCATGTCGGACTCTGTGCTGCGAGCCTCGATAAGCCGCGTGATGTAGCGGTTGACGCGGGAGCTTGGGCTGCTGTGGAGCAGCGTCGACGAGAAGGAGGAGCGGTGGCGCAGTTTCTCGGAGGCCGTGCGCATAGCCCGGCCCTGGCAGCAGCACACGGTGTACCACAGAGCAGCGTTCATTAAATCACAGGCTTAGCGCAGTCGACGACAACCTGCAGCAATTAAGTCATCTGCGTCTGTGGATTTCATTTAGTCATTCTCTTAGACGAATAGTCTAGAGCAGTCAATAACGTGGTCCTCCCTCATTTAATACATGCTGTGTGTGTAAATATGTTATATATTTATAGCCAATTACCAATTTTGGTCTTTCTCACTGCACTGCTGTCTCTAAGTTATCTTAGATTGCATATTCGATAGTTAATTCGTCATAGTCTTTGGTGGATAGTCATAGTTTTCGTCATGCTTGATGAGTTTTGCCAACTCAGCCATCGTTGACTAAAATGAAAAAATTAATTATTGACTATTTTCGTACCTCAGTTCATTAACAAAAGTAACACTGACACAGAGTAATGTGGGCTGTGCACAAAAGCAACTGCCAGTTCCTTCAAATAACTCTCCTGAAAAACGTGGCTTATAAAAAGACAGGGACCTCACCTTATCGTCATCCACGCAGGTCATGACGTTTGAGAAGGGGATTTCAGCCTTGAACATCTTACGGCAGTGCATCAGCTGTACCAGGAGGTAACACACGGTCTTAAACCTCATCCTCTTAGCTGGTTTAATGTCAGCCAATATCAGGCCTGGAAAGATCTGAAAAGGCAATATTTATGTATCAATAAAACGAAATACACACAAAAAATAATTAGATCAATGTTTACATTTACATTTGTCACACTCAGTGTTTGATGTGGCTGTAAGTAAAAACACTTAAAATATTCACGTGTAAAAACACTGAAAATGTTCACGTGTACATGCACGTGAACGTTTATGTTGCAACAATTGACTAATAAATCGTTCATTAATTATAGTCTTTAAAGTATATTTTATTCATTTTGCACAAACAAATTAGGGCCCACAATGGACTGTTGTAACCGATGTAATGGTAATTATTGACAAAGCGACAATTACGTAGAGGGGAGCAGGGACGATAGCTGTCATTCGAATAATTCTTGCATAGCTGGAAAATAACATTTCTTCATGCACTACCATAGAAGGAATTTTGTGTCCCTGCTAAAATATTTGGCCTGCATACACAAGTGACACCAATGTGAGCCTTTAGTTAATGCAACGAAGTGCATATCAATGTCATTTGATTAAAGTAAATGAATGCACTGGGTGTTTGGTAGAATTTTACAAGTTCTAAAAATTTGCGGCGGTATAATTTACCTTCCTGCGGTGCGACGGAACGATGAAGTACGTTTCAATGTTGTGCTTTCTCAAGTAGCTGTTTCTGTCCTTTCCGTTTCCAGGCTCTACTTCATAATCCCCATTCAGACAGTCCAGGGTGGATTTTGTGATGTGCACTTTTCTGTAACACATAGGACAATAGTACCAATAATAAAAACAAAATAGCAACTTGCGTTCGTGTTATGTTGAAGGTCATTCCACGTGTTGAAGAAGTTGAGCAGATCTGTCTTGCTAAAATGGGAAAAATGTATTTATACAATACATTGACACCACCTCTACATATCTGGATTATTTTTTTCATCTTATAAAGATGCATACATATTTTGACAGCTGTTCCTTATGTGTTGCTTGTAACACAGTATCAAGAAGAGACTTGGCACGGAGAGTGACATTATTGCTTTGTTCCCCATAAGGGTCTTCTGGCTATATCCTAAACAATTTGAGACGCGCCATCATTTACCACGTGTCTATGCAACATAAACCTATGTCATTGCTGCTTGACAGCCATTGGCACATTTACACTCCAATCCTTCTTGTCTGATTGGCCACCCTCACAGATGATTTCACTATATGATATAGCTTCATGAAAGTCAGATGAGTTGAGTTATTTTCCATAGCACTTCAATGGTCAGAGTCACAGCAAAACTATTTCCTGCTCAATTGAAGGCGGTGCTCACCTATAAATTATAGCCCTGAGCTGGTGATGGAGATTCCAATTCATATTGCAACAGTGAATCTCTCCAAAGGACAGCCACTGTTGTTTTCCCCAAAGAGTAATACTTATTTTATCGACCCCCTAGAAGTGTGATGGCTTAAGTCAACTTACAGCCTTATGATTGCAAGCTGACCCACTTCCAATAGTTGAGGAATCAATTCGCACAAATAATTGTAAGAAATTAAGTATAGTATGCGATTGTAAATAATTGTTGTTTAAAACTGTATTATTCTTATTATTACATATTCTTATCCAAGAAAAACTTTTTTAGGAGACTCTTGCCAAGTTTTCGCAGGAGGAGGCAATGTTGATATCTGTATGGTAATCCCAATTTGTAAGCATTGAGGTTTTTAGCCAATACCAGTTCCATTGTTTTTCAGCTATGGAAGGAAACTGGAGAGCATACAAATGCCACTGTGCCATCCTGTCACCCAACTTGACTGTAAAAAAATAATTCCATTGGAATATCACAAGCTTATTAAAATGCGTTGTTTTACTTAATATGGCACGGACATTATAGACTGTACTGCGTTTTTTGGGAAATTGTAAAACAAATTCAAAACACCGTGATTTATATTGGAAACTCTTAACTTAATTTAATAATCACCACCATCAGCCACTTCCTATTCATTGCTCAATGAAATATTCCCTGTGCCCTTACCATTTATTTATGGTTAGGCGATGCTACTCATTGTCTCATTCCTGCACATGAACTGCTCTCATCACTATATCTTTATTGTGCTCATACCTCCGGACAACTTTCATTGTTAGCTACCATTCTGTCACATGTTATGTCCATCGGCTATCAACTTTTCTGGCAGTATGTGCTTCTGAAGCACACTCACTTTCATTAATATTCAATATTGAGGTCTTTAATTTTCAAAAATATATCCTTTGACATATATATATGGTCCATAGCCACATTTCATGTCATTGAGATACTCTATATAACTAAACTAGCTTTACCACCCGACTTCGCCCGGGACTATGGATTCACCACGCCCGGCCGCCTTTGTCTCCCCAGTGGCAATGTTCACACACCACAGCAGTTGCTCGTTTGAGGCTGAGTCGACCTAGGGGAGGCCGAGGGCCAGTTCAAATAATTGTCACCGGTGGTGGCCGTGAGCGGGAATCGAACTCAGGTCACCGGGTTCGTAGCGCGGTGCGCTAACCACTACACTACACTGTGTTACGCTTCCACATGCGCGGGTCACATGACAGATTTTACGTCAAAGCTCACTTGCTGTGCAAAAAATATATGCATTATTGAGCTCCCCCCCCCCCCCCCCCCCCACAAAAAACAAAAGTGTGTTTTTATAATTTTTGCATGGTGTACAGTCTGGAAAGTACCCACATGGCAAATTTCGAGTTTGTTGCATGTCGGGCAGTACGCTAAAGATTTGGAACAGACACACATATTCACAACTTTGCCTTTTATATATATGGAGACAAATGCTAATCTGATGCCAGCAATCACATATGATCAGTTTAGTTAATGTCTAGACGATGATGTACAGAATTTATTGGTCAAATCCACTTTTTTATATAGATTTTATTTATTTCAGCAGGAAGGGCCCAATGAGCTGCTAGGCTCTTTCATGAGCGTCCCTCTACCATTTCATGGTATACAAAAAAGTTCCAAAGCTGAGATGACGGTATGTGATCAGCTAGCAAGTGCTCCATGGAAATGCAGTGAATGTGAGTGAACACACAATCCTGCTAAATTGTGATATGCCTGCATGTTGCGATGAGCTCACCCAGGCAGACCACCAGCTTCCATTACATTGGCAAGCGTTACATCATTGGACCATACATCATATTGCCACTTGCGCAGGCCCAGCACTCCACATAGCACACGGCCAGTGTGCAGCCCCACTCGCATGTTCAGGTCAACCTCAGTTGCCTCCGCCACTGACCTAGATGGGATACACACTCATCATTAATTTATTTGTTTCTAGAAATGGATCAAATGTTTATCAGTAAAAAAAGAAACAACTCAAGTTTTTCATGAAATGTTTTATCCTACCACATTAGCAGTTGTCATACTATAAGGAGGAAAAAAGTTTTGCTTGCTGGCTGGCTGGAGCACGGGGAAGGGTGCTGTGGTGGTGTCACCACACATGCCTAAGTGATGAGGTCACCCGTATCCCACAGTGCTAAACCGCGCTCATGCTTGCTGACATTACGCTTCCCACCCACCCTCTACCTTGGCCGTGTATCCCGCGGAAATGCGCGGGCAGTCCTATCATACTCTATAAAAAAAAACTTTTTCTGGCTAGCTGGATGCCTGACCGACTGGCTGGCTACCTGGCTGGCGACTGACCACCTAGAGTGGTTCTGACTAGCTGGAGACCATGCACCGCCCAGCACACAGGGGAAGTGTCGTTTATGTGGCCAACATGCAGGTGACGGGCACGCGTTAGAGGGCGTGGTGTGGGGCGGGGGGAGCACAGGACGGGGTATGCGAGGAGGGGAGCGCAGGTGGGGCGCGATTTGGGGTATATGCAGGTGATAGGGGGTGTTCCAGGGGTTGTCACGCACGAGAGGGGAGGGAGGTGAGGACAATCGGGAGGACCGTCGTTCAATGACCGGTACTTTAATAATATTATATTTTTTAAACATTTGCTGCTTGACTGGCTAGAGGAAGGGACGGACGGACACATCCTAAGGATGTGCGGACTGATAGTTTGTAATAAAAACCCAATTTGTTGCCTTCATAAACAAAAAGAAAAACAGGATTGCACAGTCAAGGTTCACCAACATTCATCGATTTCACTATAAATACATTTAATTCATTGCTTGTAAAATGCGTCGTATTATTTTTCTAACAAGAAAATGCAGTCATGTATAATTTATGCTACATGTATTTTCATTGCTGCTGAACGTTTTAAAATACGTACACAGGCATACACATTGATTATCATGAATATTAAACACTTAATTTCAATAGCTTTATAGTTCCAAATCTAGCGCCGTTGATTAATTATCATACACTCTGTTCCACGATATTTGAAAGAGCCTGATAAAATAGGTGTATGACTGTATACAAAGCAAGTTTAGAGACATCAAACAGTTTTCATTTCTTATTATTCAAATGGCATGGCTTTGATGAGATGCTCTAGATGAGCTGCTTGTTCACGTACGTGATGGTGTCAATCATGTCCAAACCCATCTCCACACAGCAGTGAGCGTGGTCAGCCTTAGGCTGCGTTAAGCCTGAGACGCAGTAATAACAGTCGCCCAGAATTTTAATCCTCCTGCAGTGATTCTCCTGAAATGCAAACGGTCGGCACTGAATAGTTTTCTTGCTCACAAAACATTATTACCTCCCATATGCTTGCATCTTTGTACAACCTTCTTGACACGGTCTTGTAAAAAAATACATGACAGTATTGGCCCTATTTTAACCGTGTAAAGTACATTTTATAATTGACGATGACTCACTGTTTCATTTTTGCAAGTTCGCTGTCTATCATTTGAAATACATTGTTTGCAACTCAAATACTGTACACAACAGACATGGGTTGATGACTTGTATGCACTAATTAGATTCCACACAATATTTCTTTGATAAGTTATGCAGATGCACATTTGTTTTCTGAAAGGTCCTTTTTACCTCCAAAAGATGGATTTCCACAAAAGCTCAAGATAAAAAGAAATATGAAATAGAACACTATAAGTGGTAGAAGCTAGGATGAAACGTAAATGGAATCTGAATACAATTGCTCACTCGTAATTCAATAATGATTTAAATTCCAATCATTTGTAAGCACAGCATTATTAAAATAATAATCATCTAAGCAGCATGCTATCAAGTTGACTGGTAACACATTATTTGCCATTCTCAAGAAAACAAACAAACCCCACAAACAGCTGTTGGAAACCATTTACATACTTAATTCATTGCTTAGAGAAATAATAATGTACGCAGTATAAATGACGGTATTAAATCAATCTCCTTGGTGTGTTGTATGCATACCGTAGCCAGTTCATCAAACTTTCCGAAAAGCTCATTAAGCAGTTTAACGAGCTCCTGCGCCGTACACTGCGATGCCAGACTTGTAAACCCAACGATATCTGCAAAAAGGATGCTGAAACACAATACAGTACCGGCAGGCCGTAATAGTCTTGTTAGTATGCATTTGCTATGCATTATGCATGCTGCAATAGCAATCGAATACAATTTCAGAAACATAATTGAATTAATTTCAGAGCAAACTAAGAATTAATTAATATTGTTATGAAACTAATCTGACACAAAATCAACTGTTTCAAGCACCGTGAACACCACAACATTTTCAATAAAATTACATCTATAAATAATATAATATATACATTCCTGGGTGGAGTGGTGGCATAGCAGTTACTGTGCTGTGGTTTGAACGCAGCGACACAGGTTTGACTCCTGGCCATGGCTAACAGCAGTGTCAAGAAATATCTGAAGTGGTCCTGCCCTCCCCCGCCTTCAATAAGCCACACTGCGTAGTGAAGTTTGGTCGTAAAACCCCCATGACCGAAATGTTGTCGGGAGGCCTTCATCCATGGGTGGATTGAGAATGGTGGGAATTTCAACTTTTTGCATTCACACTTGACATCCATGTAATAAATAACAAGTCCTGGTATGATAGTACTGAACGTGCTAGATCAAATTGGACCTGTGTTTCAAAACCTGGGCTATTAGATTTTGGTAAGATATAACCTAATTCTCCTACATGTGCAACATGTTCATGAACATTTGAATAACAAAAAACTGCACAACATTAAAGCCACACTTTCACACACAGGTAAATACAAAAAATTGAATAATATACACGTTTTAATGTGCAAAAACATTCAATGAGTGTGGGAAATGAACAATATGTACCAATGACAATACATGTATATGATAAACTAAAGATGCACACACAATTATAAAGCCAGGAGGCTTATTTCAGGAACTTTTTATCCCAAGCCATGATCTTGATATCCAGAGAGTAGAAGCATTTTTTTTTATTTTTCAGAGAGACGGGACCAGCTTTTGGAAGGAAATTAAGTGTTAGGCACGAATCGAGCGGGAAAAGCACATTCGGAGAGAAAGGAGCTAGCGAGCTCTGCCGCAACGGGGGAAAAGAAACATTGACAGTCAGATGTGTTCTGTGACTTAGGTCACTTGGGACCCTCCCAAGGCCAGAAATAGCGACGCATTTTTTGGATATAACATTTTGCACACCTTCTGCAGGCGAGCACAAGGGAACGCCGCACTTCATCTCCCAAATTATTTATTTCTGTGAGGGCTCAAGATCACAATAACCCGTGCTTCTCTCCTCAATCCCGTGTGTGCGCATTTGTGATGGCGAAAAAACCTTGATGACATTCTCCAACACAAAGAAGAGGACATGTAACTGTATAAAGTGTGTATTGCACGCATCGCCTGTCGTATGTGTGGTATATATATTTTGGCGGTACAAACGCTAGTTTAAAAAAAGAAGTGCAGTCTCCAACTCTTATCAGACTTTACCTCTCAATATGTGCTATGAAAGAGGGCCACTGCCCAAAACATTGCTTGTTTTATAAAAGTAATTTTTAAAGGCAGTATTATTGACGAATGTGTTGAGTTTTTTTTTGGAGTAATATAAAGCTCCGGCGGGTGTTATTCTTATTGTTTCCTTGCGTTTTAAGTTGTATTTTTGTCCCGTAATATTCACTTACACATGTGTTCAGAGAAAATGTAAAAAGCAATGCTAACCTGTGCATTGTTACAGACTGATTAATTAACAAGACATTATTCATAACAGTTCAACCCTCATATTTACTGTAAATTGTTCATTTGAAACTTAACAAATTGTAGTCTTGTGACAAAACACATGGTGGCGACACACGTCTTTAAATTCAAAATATGACATCCATCAAATAGTGATGTTTCTGTAATGAAAACAGGTTAATTGAATTTCACTTCTGTATTGCATTGCCTTTGAACATACTACAGTATTACTGCACTTGTATACATATACTGTGCAGGTATTTAGTCTTAGTAGTCGTATAGGTATTATCAATATTATTTCTCACCTTACATTGTCATGCCGCTGGATGTAGATTTTGTGAAAGATTCGTTCTGGGGGCTTTAGGAAATCCTCTTTCATCTCCATGGCCACGTGCCTCGGCAGGAGACTCATAAGCAGACGCTCCTGTGGGAGGGAAGTCGGGGTGGTGGTGGGCTGGTATCAGCAAGCACCCAGGGGTCCCCAAGTCTCACAGAAACTCCGGGCTCCCGCCCACACTCCTCCCGATCGTGCCACGCTGAAGTGTGACCCCTTTGAGATATGTAAAGCACACTGCCGTGTATAATGTATTCTATAAATATAAGCACATGAATACACTTGTACACATTTAGTATAAAATATACATATTTGTAAAACCGTAATTAGGGAACACACGAATGATATACAGTCGTCTATAAATAGCCAAACATAGCCTGTACGAGCACCATGAAACAAGTGAGCTGAGCTGAATTCCCAGGCATGGCGCCCATCAGTAGCGGTATATATATGAAAAGGCCCTTAGCCAACCATTCACAAACCCGCACTCACCAGGATGGTGAATTACAAATCACGCAACCTCTATAACCTAGTCTTGGAAGCCAGCCGAGGTTTTATAAAGGGCTGACATGTGTATTAATGTGCAGTCGTATCTGTACACTTACTGAAACATTTTCCATAAATATACGTATGTAAATGCATCGACTAAATATCCATGCCCTCATACTAAACTGACCCACATTTAAACGTATCGTCCCAAAAGACAGTATACACATATGGCGGTGTCTTCAAATATGCATAGCATATATGCACAGAGTAATGTACAAATGCTATACAGCCTATAAATACTTTAAAATGCATACATAATGTACATACGTTGTCATATGCAATATAGTTATATTGTTGTTGCTCCAGTGATCAGAGATCTTAGGTAAAACAGTACTTCAGCATACACAAAAATCATTTAGGAGAAAAAATTGTGTTTTTATTTAGCATTATTACAATAACGCATTCACTGCTTGAACCATGAAGGGGTCAATAACAGTCGACCTGCAGGGCAAGTTCGCATGTGGTGGGGTAAAGTGTGGCGGTGGAGTAGGGCAAATACTCTCTAGGGGGCCTCCCGATATGAGGCCCGACTGCCAGCAGTGGCATCAGTGAGATAAATTATTGTCTTTACCTTTAACAATTATTTATATCCAACACAAATGGCTGTGAGATGTTTATTTTAAAACATATTACTTTACATTGATCTCGTTGATGTTAAGATTATATAGTGTGAACTCAATATAGTACCTGCGAATAATGTAAATAGTAACATAGAGTACTGTGAATGTGTGGGTCACAACTCAGTTTTGGAAAATACATGCATTTTTTTACAATTCTAATAACATTTGTACTACAAAACGCTGCAGATAATTTCTATATACAGTATATACATACACACAGTAATCTGTATAAATAACTGCTAACTCTATTTGGATGAACAAATATCCCATGACCAAATCACCCGGAATGTGCCTGACCTCGTCAGATCGAGGAAACTAAGCAGGTTGAAGCCAGGCAGGTTATTGGATGGGCAACCAGCACGCATAAACCAGGTGTCATACAGTGAGGGAAAAAAGTATTTGATCCCCTGCTGATTTTGTACGTTTTCCCACTGACAAAGAAATGATCAGTCTATAATTTTAATGGTAGGTTTATTTGAACAGTGAGAGACAGAATAACAACAAAAAAATCCAGAAAAACGCATGTCAAAAATGTTATAAATTGATTTGCATTTTAATGAGGGAAATAAGTATTTGACCCCTTCTCAATCAAAAAGATTTCTGGCTTCCAGGTGTCTTTTATACAGGTGTAATGTGAGGATATATCCGGCTCACTGACATATCACAACTCGTCATGAGGATTGGCTCTGCCGGCCCTGGTCTATAGCCAATGGGGGGAAGCCTAGGGGCGTGGCCCTGACGTAATGGAAAGGTGACAGCTGTAAGTAGAGGATTGGTTCTGCTGGCTTTGGCCACAGCCAATGGGGAGATGAGTCAGGGGCGTGGTCCCGGGAGCTTACGAGGAAGCCTGCAATATTCCATGGAGGCTAACCAGGATTGGTGGAAACGTACCACGGGACCCGGGTATTAAATAGGGGTGGAGACGAACGACTCGGGGTCAGAACGGGAACGAACAGAGGAAGGGGGCCACGCGGGAGCGGGGCTCCGGGTTGCCACGTGGCGGTGCGTCTCTCTCTATCTATCCCTCTCACGCTGCCTGTCAGCAGCGTGAAGGAAAGCTGTAATACAATGTTGAATAAAAGACGGATTCCAGAAGTCGCCTCAATGACCTTTATTACACAGGTAACGAGCTGAGATTAGGAGCACACTCTTAAAGGGAGTGCTCCTAATCTCAGCTTGTTACCTGTGTAGGGGTGTCAGGGGAAGGATTCCCACCAATAGGAGGGTTAGTGGGAGGGGTGATCGAGGAGATATAAGGGGAGAACGGGCAGGAAGACGGGGCCTTTGGCGGGAACGAGATTGGGACGGCTGGGGACAGGTGTGGATTGGAGAAAAGGATTAAAAGACGAAACCCCTGCAATCTTGTGTCGCCTCTCCTTTACATCTGGTGGCAGCGGTGGGATTGACAATGGCTACGAAGAAGAATCCCCGCGGAAAAGAGGAAGAGGAAGCAGGGGCCAGGGATCCTTCCCATCCCGGGCAACAAGGGGGCCTGGAGCGCCTGGAGGACCCCATGGAGGACCACATGGCCCGCGTGGAGAGGGCACTCCAAGAGCTACTGCAGAGGCTCCCTATGGGGGGCCCGCCGGCACCGGGACCCCCACCCCCACACGTACCACGGGAGGAGAGGCCACGGGACCCGTAGGCCGACCAGCCGGCCGGGCAGGAGCCGCAACCAACCTCGTCACACCAGCCGCCGCCGCTCCCGCCAAAACCCCCAGGGCTAAACACCCAACACGAAGAGCAGGTGGCAGGACGGGCGCGTCGGCTGGGGCCCGTCGACAAGTTCGTGGCCGAGGAAGATTGGGAGGCGTTTGTCCGCCGATTCGAGGCTGCCTTCCTCGCTCTCGAGTGGACAGACGAAGAGGCACTACGAGCTTTGCCATTCGTTCTGGGCGACGAGGCGCTCTCCTCTTACACCTCCCTTCCCTTGCACAGCAAGACCACGCTACAGGCGGCCTACGAGGCTTTGGGGGAGATCTACTGCCCGGCAGAAGGAGCCTTTAAACGGTTCCAGGACCGCCAGTGATGGGCTAGAGAATCCCCTTTAGCCTACAGGGGTGCGCTGCTCGTGTTGGCGAGGAGGGCTTTCCCTCGCCTGGCTGAAGAAGCGCTCGAGGACCTCGTGGTCGAGCACCTCATCGCCTACGCTTGCCGCGCTGGCGTTGTAATGCCTGTGGTGACGCCAGGGGAACGCACCTCGCTGTGGGCTGCCCGGACCATCCAAGCCCACGAGCAGGTCATGGGCCGGGCGCCACCCGTGGGCCAGGTGGCTGGCACGCCGGGGGGGAACAGCCGAGCCGTTGCCGCGGCGCTACTAGGTCCAGCGACACCAACCGCCGAACCTGCACCGTCGCCGCAGGCTGCCTATGGGGCAGCTGGGAACGGACCCCCGACGTCTGAGCCGGAGCCATCGCTGCGGGAGGTGTACGCGGCGATCCGGGGATTGGCAGAGCAGAGGGACCAGGGGCGTGACCAGCCGCCGCGTCGCTGGCAGCCGCCTCTACAACACCGCGCCAAGCAACCCCGACGGAACGCCACGTGGGTCTGCCACCATTGTGGTCGAGAGGGGCATGTGGCGAGGGGGTGCCGCACGGAGCCGGAGGCCGCCAACGCCACCTGGAACCCGCCGGGGCCGAACGCCGTCAAGATCCAGGCGAGTGACGCCGTCCCGCCCGGCCTCTCGGTCGGGCCGAGAAATTACACCCCCGACGCCGCGAACTCACCGGGAGTCTCCTCAGGGTGGGCGCCGTCGGTGTCGTTCCCTGGTCCCCACTGTCCGGGTCGGGGGAAGGGGATCGCGCCGGGGCCGGGAACCACGTCAGGGATCGCGTCGCGACCAAAAGTAACATCGCGAACGGACGTGACGTTGCGTCCGGAAGTGACGTCGCGGCCGGAAGTGACGTCGCGGCCGGAAGTGACGTCGTGGACGGCGCCGGAAATCGTGCCGGGGCCGAGGACCGCGCAGAGGATCGCGCTGGGGCCGGGGACCACGCCGAAGATCGCGCCGAGGCCGGAGACCGCGCCGGGGCCGGTAGGGACGTCGCAACCGGACGTTCTGTCGCGGGCGGACGTGATGTCACAACCGGAAGTGACGTCACGGCCGGACGTGCCGTCGCGGGCGGGCGTGGTTTCACGGGCGGACGTGACGTCGCGACCGGAAGTGACGTCGCGGCCGGACGTGCCGTCGCGGGCGGACGTGACATCGCGACCAGAAGTGACGTCACTAGTTACCTGCGACGCCGGCCCCTGGGCTGAGGCGGCACACACAACTGCCGTTGCGCCCTGGAGCAGTTCCATGCCCCGCCTCACCACCGCTTTGCGGCGGAGACGGGACCAGGGGGGCACACCCCCGTGACAAAGGAAGGGGAGGGGAGAAGGGATGGGCTCACGGGAAGGGCCACCCCCCAAACCCCACCGCCCACTACGATGGGGGGGCTCCCCCACACCACAAGGGGGGGGCCATCCTACGTCACCAAGGGGGGGCCATTTGCACCACATAGAGAGCCCAGCCCGCACCCCAGGGGGAAGCCCACACTATGTAACAAGGGTGCATTCACCCTGCTGCAACGCACTCCAAAGGGGGGAACCCCATCTTCGGTCCATTCACATCCATCCCCCATCATCTCACCATGCACCGCAGGATAACGAGACGCCGCCGGGTCAGTGGCCGGACTGAGCCACACAATGGAGGAAGCTGGCAAGGCGGGTGGTAGCGGCCACGTCAGGAACCTCAGTCCTACTCGGTGAAATCGCGGGAGTGTCGGCACGTATCTTGGTTGACACGGGGGCATCTGCCATGATCATCTCGAGCACCATGCACGAGATGCTGCCGGATAAAAACCGACCTTTAGTCCCCGTCAAGACGACGTTCATTGCAACAAATGGAGGCAGCATGGGCTTCCTGGGCCAGGTTGAAGC